GCTTAGCTTGTTCTGTAATGACAAGGTCTATAAAGCACAGCTCCTTCCTTAGTTTAAAGATCCAGAATTCTTACAGGAAGCTTGTGGTCTTCCAATTTACATTAGAGAATTTGGAATTTGGTAGTCATGTGTCAGATGTTCTCCATCTTTTACAAATGCAATCGATATGTAGGGGATCGAAAGACGTCTGTTACTATACAGTTGTTCTATTTGAAGACTCAGCAATGCAATATTGATATTTAGTTTGCTTGTTCAAAAATTCTGTTCTGTGCTGTTACAAATACAACTTGAACATATTTTGTCTTGAATGCTATTTCAGTCCAATTTAGAAACAATTCATTGCTTGAACAAACTAATAAATCAAGTACTCACTGTTCCGGTTTTTTTTTGTAAATGTAACTCCTACACTGCTTCAGTACTGTCTGAGGCCTTTTCCTGGGGCTTTCAATATTGTGTCACTGCCACGTTTTTTTAAGAAAATTATGTAGAGCTAATCACCATATTGTATTTTTTTGTGATATTGGTAAATGGCACAGATTAAGTAGGGATGATTCCGTTTACTTGAAATTGCATATATGATTACTTAACAACTCAGACTACAACTTGATAACCATGTATGCATCCAGAGTCCAGCATATTTCTGCTAGGCTGCGTATGACAGACGGTCATGTGGTTTCCTCCTGGACCTTGGCTCACTAATGTGCTCACTCTTGAAGCTGACAGTTCTTAAAGCAATAATAAACAGTACTCTTGCCTCTAAGTCACAGGTTCTGAATCCAATCCCCACTCCAGGGCTTGAGTAAAAAGACTAAGGCTGACATTTCAGTATTGTAAAAGCTTGAGATGCTACACATTTTTTTAAAAAGGATAAGATACCAAACCAAAGCCACATCTGTCTGTTTGAGTGGATGTGAGATTCTGTGGAATTAGTTCCCAGTGTCCTGCCAATATTTATCCCTCAGTCTACAATAGGAAAAAACAGATTATCTGTCCATTTTCACATTGATGTTTGCAAGACTTTGCCATGGACACATTGGCTACTTTGTTTTTTACATTACTGTAGTGACTGCATTTCAAAATAACTTCATTGTCAGTGAAGTATTTTCAGATATCCAATGATCATGAAAAGTGCTACGCAAATATAAGTCTTTCATACAATATCTTTGATATGAACACCACGGTGTTACCCTTGTGATGGCATTTTTCTGAACTCACTATAATCCTTAACAATATGCTAAAACTTCAGATCACAGCACAGGACTTTATTAGGTGTCTTTCTCACACTGCTGAAATAATAATAATAAATATCTACATTAACCTCCCAGTGCTGAAGGTGAGGCATCTGCTCTTACTCTACCTGGTTCCCTAGATGATTGATTAGTTAGTCCAACCACAATCCTTGTTTATGATAAGCTCACAATTTAAGTTGTCATTCTAATGACACAATCAGTTCAATGTTTAATAAAGCATAATTTGATTAGCTGACGAGAGAGAGAGAGAACAAAAAGAAGAACAGTGTGGAACTTTAAAAGGATGTTGACAAGGTGTTGGAGTGGGTGGATAGGTGGCATATGAAGTTCAATGCAAAGAAGTGTCAGGTGATGCACTCTGATAGGAAGAACATGGAAATGCAATATAAAAATAGGGGCTACTCTCGAAAGGAGGTGCATGAGCAGAAGGACCTGGATGTATATGTGTACAAATCATTGAAGATTGCAGGACAGATGAAGAGAGCACTAAGTAAAGCATACAGTTATTTTTGACTTTATTGATAGAGTACGAGAGCAAGGAAATGATGCTGAACTTGTATAAGACACTTGCCAGATCTTAGCTGGAGTATTGTGCACAGTTATGGGCACAATATTGTAGACAGATTGTGAGTGCATTGGAGAGAGAGCAGAAGCAATTTACAAAAATGATTCCAGGAATGAGAAACTTCAACTATGAAGATCAATTGAAGAAGTTGGGACTGTTCTTGAAGAGAAGAAAGCTGAGGGGAGATTTGATAGAGGTTTTCAAAAGCATGAGCAGGGCTTGATTGAGTAGATCGGGAGAAGCTGTTTCCACTCATAAAAGGAATATAAATGGAAGGTGAGAAGTGTGCAAAAGAAGCAAGGACGATATGAGCAAACAAAACAGTGAATTGATAGGATATGAAATTCACTGCCTGAAATGTCATGGAGTCAGGTTCAAAGGAGGCATTAAGAGAGTATAAAATGACTATATGGATAAAAATAATGTGGAATGGTATGGAGAAAAAGCAGGAGGTAGTCACGAGGTAATGATGCTTATTTGAAGAGCTGATGCAGGTATGATGGGCTGAATGGTCTCCTTCCATTGCAACATTTTGTGATTCCGTGAAAAAAGAATAGATTAATTAAAGCTGGCAGCCAATCACAAACCTTCTTTCAGTCATGAACATAAGAATGAAGAAAGGGAAGGGCAAAGACAGAGACAGACAGGAAAATTTATAAACAAAGGTAGAAATTTTAAAGGTGAAAATAAACAAAACAGATTAGAAGAGAAAAATATAAAACTAATAATAACATTTAATAAAAGTAAATAACAAAATAAAAGTTTAAAAATTAAACATAGAAAACACAATAAAACAACTAATGGGGGAAATAAGAATAGTCAATAAGAAAAGAGCAAATGACAGTGAAAGGAGGAGCTCAGATAAAATCTTATTTAGGATCTTCAAAGGGTATATTCCATTATTGTCACATCTCAATAATGAAAGCATTCCTAACATTGTAACAGCAGTTGACAATGTTATTATTTGTTTCTTCATCCTAGTTTTGGATTGTAAAGTGAGCAGTTTTTTACAGCAGACACAAATGACTATAGAGAGACTTATTAAAAACAGAAAATGCTAGAGAAACTCAGCTGTCTGGAAGCACTTGTAGGGAACAGAGTTAATATTAGGTCCAATATGACTCTCCTTCAGATCTCTAGAAGTGAGTTTCTCCAGCATTTGCTGTTTTATTTCAGATTTGCAATATTTTGATTTTTGTATTACGGAGGAAGTTAATGTGTTTAATGATTTGTAAATTGTTTTATAGAAAACATTTGGATGATACAGAAGTGATGCAAAAGATACTGCAGACAAAGAGGGTTAGCTTTCAACTTCCTCCTTCCAGCGGAAATAGAACTTAAAATACTAACATTAGGTTTAACACAGCAACTCACCCTGTCATTGTGTTTGCCAGTACATTCTGCTGGGTGGCTAATACATCTAACTGGGTCGAGTGGGAGCCTCATTAATCCAGATTGGGGTCTTATGGTATGTCTTGCAGTCTGAGGCCAAATAAATGACCATTTGGAGAGAATATTCATCAATGCTTTCTACTCCTAAACCCTGGCAAAACAAAAAAAGAGGCCTTTGTAAATAGCATTAAAATTACTTTTTGTAAAACTGGGAGAAGTAGAGGTACTCTCTCAGTTCCACAATAACAATGTGGGCCACTCCCTTCCCTGTTTTAAAGATTGCAACACCCCTTTATCTTTTACCCAGACAGGTTAATCCTCAAATTTGCACCAGTTCAGAGCTGATGAGGTGCCAAATATCCATTTGCCATCTTTAAATCGACACATTATGGTGTCTTGGCTGTCAATGTGGTTCAGATCTCTTGCTATGAAGGTCAGGTAGCTAGCTAGCACCTAACCTATAAAAGGAGCAAAGAAAGTGAAGATAGGGACATGTGAGTGAATAGAAAGTCAAGCGTGCTAAAAGAATAGAGATATTTGAAATTTGTGAAACTCTCCCATTCCCATTTTGACTTCTATTTTTGGCATTTAACATTATTCCAATGAAGATTGCTGTAAAGATTGATAACAGTGCCTTATCTTTCTGCTAGGCATTCAACAATTTTCTGGTTTTATCACTGACTTTAATAACTACTGAACTTAACTCCTTTTTATTTTCTTCACATTACTGTGTGCTTAGACTTTGGGTGAGCATGTAATTGTGGAGGAGGAAAGACATCCTCCCTCAGAGCAGAAGAGTATTGGTCACATTATTTTTTTAAATAAAACAAAGAACTGCAGATGCTGGGAATCTAAATAAAAACAGAAATTGCTGGTGAAATTCAGCAGATCTTGCAGACTATTGGGAAGAAAGCAGAGCTAATATTTTGAGTTCGGTGACTCAAGTTTTTATTTTGTTGTTACTTGCTCCAAGGTTTGAGGCTGCATCTTTACTGTGTTTTTTTTTCTCTGACTTTGTTTTTAAACTAAAAACAGCAAGTGCTGTAGAAACTCAGAAAGTCTGGCAGCATCTTTGGAGAGAGACAAACCACAGTTAATGTGAGTGAAACCTTTCATCAGTTCTGAGTAATTCCATCACCATCCTGTTTTCATGTCAGATTTCCAGTATCCACAATACATCCCTTTCGTATTCAATTTTTTTTCACTACTAAGTTAGGAATGACATGCAGATGTTTCACAATTGTTAGTCAAAATAAGATTTGACGAATTTGTCTACGTGAATCTTATTTAATTCAAACGTTGAAAATTTTTAACATGGTAGCACAATGCAAAATAGATTTACAGGAGAACTCTTGAATTGATTCACTAAGTTGTTCATTTTAAATTGGTAGTTTGAAACAATGTGCTCATTCAGAGAAGCAGTAGAAGGAGTATTCCCGGAGATGAATACCGACATGTAACAGTGCATGTTCGTCGAGGTAAAGAGTGTTCCAAGACATGCTGAAGACATATCTTAATACGATGCTCATTTAGAGGGTCGGGATTCAAACCAGATTTCACAACTTGAGCACAAACCGAGCCAGAAGGAGGAGAGAGAAATAAAAAAAATTGCAGTACAGACTTGGCAACAATGAGCTCTTGTTAAGGAACAGTAGCTGTGCCACAGCTTATTTTCAGAGTGAAGTGCTCCATGAATTACTATCGTGGTGTTTCACTCCTGATGTCTTGTTTGAAATTGCCTCTCCGGTTCTGACGCATGCGTGTCCCCCTCCTCTGCTCGGCCGAGGCAGCTGTTTTGGGTCCGAATTCCAACATGGCAGTCTTCCGAGCGCACTGGTTTGAAAACTTGGAATGATTTCAAATCCTTGTCAGCCCCGCTTCACCCGAGCTCCCGCTTGCCAGTAAACACCGGGGTCGATGTTTCGAACTTCCGCGGCGACCCTCTGAGTAACCCCAGGTAAGACTTTATTTCGCCCCCGATTGGCAGCAACATTTCCATCTGAATCCCGTAAAATCGAAGCAAGGAGATTAGGGCATGAGGGGCTGGCTGGGTGAAATAACCCGCGCCTGACTTCCCCCAGTGTTTATCTTCACCCGCAGATCACTTGCACGCTGTGCGCCCTGCTCTACAGACTACGCGTAAAAAAAACACACACACACGCACACAAAGAAAGACTGGGACTTTTCCTTAAAGTAAGCGGGTTAATTGCAGTAGTGAGAATCCAAGAGTTCAGCGGAGCACCAACCCCCCCTCTCTCTCTCTCTCTCTCTCTCTGCTCTCCCCTCCCTCCCCATGTGCATGTTCTTTCCCCATTGGAGCGGAGTAGAGTTATTCTGCTGTCGAGTCGGACAGCAGTGAGAGTGCTTTGCAGCTTGGTTTGCTGGGGAAACAACTTCTGAGCAAAGCAGGAGTGTAAATAAAAAAAAAAGCAGACCTCTTGACTTGGCGTGGTATATGCTCGTGATTTTTTATTTAAAAAGGCACCCAAGTGTCAGAGCCGAGGCTGAACCTGTGCTGTGACTGTTGGGATCTGGAGAGATAACCACATCATCTATTTTCAGGCTGCAAAGGAAGCATGGTGGGCGTATTGTGCCGTGGAACAGAGGAAAGAGAGAGAGCGAGATGTATAATCTAATGGTATATACAGTACAGTGATCCTATTACTGTCCTCCCCGGAGCTTCTTGTTAGTTTCCATGGAAGTGAGTGAAATTGACAGCGACTTGGATTCGTGATCATGTGCTTGTATTTTATGTGTGTGTGGTGCGCTCTCTGTCTCTCAGATCCCTTTTTGTTGATGTCGCTTTCCCCCCTAATTACATGCATGTAGGTTAAATGAATACCTGACGAAAGGGCCCATGTTTCAGCAGTGAAATTTGATAGCCAAGAGGGGGGAAAAAGTGGCTAATGAAAACCCAACGGTCGGAATTCTGAATGTGAATCCAATTGTGTGCTTGCAAGAAATGATCAGTAACGCGAGTGTTTATGGTATGTTTTTGTTGTGTTGCATTTTTGTCATTTGCAAAGCATCTGAGAGCAGAAGCTTTTTTCCATCTTAAAGATGTTTAATGTGCACGTTTCATAATTTAGAGCTTTCGAGATCCTTCCGATCTCGTGCTAAACCTGTAATATATATTCATAACGGATTTGGCAGTGGTGTGCCCAGGATGCTATGGTGAGGCTCTCGCGTTTATAAATTTTAAATCGGGGGCAGTACAAGTGATGAGAACTGGTATTTGACGGGAATGCGATTTTTGCGATTGGTATTCATTAGTGCGAAATTCACAGCGAGCGGCCAGCAGAAACAGCAGATTAGGGTTAGCTAACGGTTGCCTGTAGTTAACAATCATATGATTTAGGATTTATTTTAATACGGCTGCGCCATTTATTCAAAATAGCTATTGCCGACAAAACTTGAACGCATCAATCAATTTACAGTTGATGAAACCCAGTGTGAGATGAGTAGGGATAGCCAATGCTTCTTCCTAAAGATTTTATGTGAATTTGGATGTCAATTAATTGCGATGTGTAATAACCATAGCAGACCCAGAAGTGTTTTGAGTTAAAGACAAGGAAAATGATAGTCCCGCCAATTAATCGCTGGAAAGCAAGGAATTGAAGATACTTGTAAAGGTCTTATGCTGTTAGATATGTGTAGTACGATCTAATTTTTACGCTTAGTTTGTTTTAATGAGACATTTATAGCAATCCTTCTGATCAATAGCACCGTTATGTAAAAGACTTTTTGCGTTGGTCTCTCTCTCTGTCGAAATAACACCAAGAACTTACTCGTATCACTGGACCCATGAACGTATGAAACCCCTGTGCCAGGATCCTTGTTTTAGTAATGAAAGTCCATCAGTTGCATCACAGCAGTATTTCCACATATTGATGATGACACTTGGCTACCCCACCCGAGCCCCCTTCCATATCCAGGACTGAGCACTCGCGTCCCCATGCAAAACGTGGCATTTAAATCAGTATGCGAATCAGATGCTGGGAAGTTCGCGAAAGTATTTTGCATGTGAGCGAATTGCAGCGGGGTAAATAGTTGAAAACAATGTTTTCCTGATACACATGATTACAGACCACATACCAGCTGCAAACACGGCAGAATTATTTAAGCTGCTATGTGTCTAGAAAACTCAACAAAATATATGATATAAATGAATACAAGTATGGAGCAATTCCTAGTTCTCTAAAGTAGATAACTATATTGCACCTTCAAGAACACTGAACACGTTGTTTGTGTATCTATGTATGGAACAGAACAAATGAAGAATTTTCATTTATAACAAAACCAGATGGCTGCATTTGTAACCTTCATTGTACCTTCAAGTGTAATTATTTGAACTTTTAAGAATTGGTTTTGTTTTAGTGTATGGGCTGATTGTATATTAGTTGGGCAGTAAAAGATTAATGAATATCTGAGCAGGTATGTTCATAGAACATTTTATCTGTACTAGTTGAAAGCATAATACATTTTCCAGAATCTGTAAGTAAGACTGCTGGAGTAAAATACCATCAACCTCAGCTTGTCAGCTGTAAGCAAATATGTTAAGTGTTGTGTTTGTGCTTTAGATTAGAAAGAAGAGACCCAGGGGAGCTAGCATCATGCAAATATAACAAATCCCATTTCTAATATGCATGATGTTCACCCTTCCAGCAGCTGGATATGTTTTCTTTGTGTTATTTCTGAGTGTGCTGACAATTTTTGTACAGATCTAGGCTGGGCTACATTATAAAGTGAAACCAGCTGTCTGTCGCTGCTCTGAGGGATGTGTTTGCTCTGCTGAGAAGATGAAGGACCACAAATCCTTGACACACTTCCCTGACATGATCAACATTCAGCTGCTGAGATTGTCTGCTTGGTCAATTTTTTTTTGTTCTGACTGACAGCATGCAGCACAAACAAATTAAAAGAAAAAAAAAGTTTGAGCACAAATGCAGTGCTTTCTTGTTATTCCTTCTGTGAAATCTCTGTGATTCTGTTTGAAGCATCAGCACTGGCTTCTCAAAGTCCATTTCACCAGTGAAATATTCAGTCCAGTAAGGGAGAATGAATGAAGCTGGAAAAAAAAGTGCTTCTTTCCAAATAATTAAGCAAATTGTGAATTGATGCGTTAAGAAGAGCAGAATTTTGTATGTTGCCTACTGGTTGCAAACTTTATTATTTTTTTAAAAAATCAATTCATGGCAGAAAGTGGGGTCTGGATTGTTTGTGTGCAAATTGGGAATTGGCTAGACCAGGCGGTCCCCAATGGAGAAAAAGGGAGGTTTAGTGGTAATGCTTTTAATCTGGACTTGTAGAGGATTCATGAGCATCCATAGATTTACACTAGTAATTAACATATCCCAAGTGGCACAAGAAGGCATTTGCCTAAAAACTGATGTCTTCATTACAGTGTTTACATTTTAATTGAACAGATTACAGTTTCTGTTGTATAAAGAGTTGTAGTGTGAATGAGACAACTTTTAAAATTATTTAAAATAATCTCCTCAGGAAAATATAAATCCAATGGCAGCTATAACATTATAACAAATATCAAATATTCTGGAAGCCAAGCAGTATGATTTGCAAATATTATTGTTTATATTTCAATCTTCTGCAGAATTTCTTTTTGCTGTCTGTTGAATGCTTTATGCATCCAGGCCCTGAAGCATTGTGTGGCTATGTACTTGGCAGTATGCCAAACATTGACTGCAGGAGCCTTGGTACCTGAGAGCTTATCAGTTCTCTGGTCTGTAAAAATGTGATGAAAATGTTGGTAAACTGCCATGAAGGTTTAGGGAATGTCGGAAAAAGGTCCATGTAATCAGATTCTAACTCCAGCCTGAGACACCCTGTGCTGGAAATAGCTGCTTATTGACCAGAAGTGTGTTTGTGGAAAGCCTACTTGCTGACTGGTGCATTAGTAAATCAACGATTTGTTGCGATGACCACAGATTGGTTTGGTAACAGAATCACTATTTATGCAAATGCTGTAAGCAATACTATTTTTAAGATATAGAAACAAATCATAAAAGAATAGAAGAATTACAAAATAAATCTGATGCCGCAGTGAAATAAGGGGACAATTATCTAAATACCCAAGTGCTAAGCCACAACTGTTTTTTTGCCACAATGGTTCACCTTTGCATCAAGAATGTGTGAATTTGTTTGATCCAACAACATCAAAGTAAATTCCTACTTATTTAGATTAATTACACTGCTGCTAAGATCCTTTACTTTCCTTAAACCCTGATAGTGATCCACAGATAAAGTTCAAACTGTGTTCAAATTCTGGACCCTGTATTTTATTTCCAGCTGAAGTGACTTTACTTCAAGGTTACGTTGTTATTGCATGATCATTTTTTTTTCCCCCAGTTTTTTTGCCATGTTCGATAACAAAAGCATTTAGGAATTTTATTGTCCATCTGTTTCTCAAAGCAAATTTGTCTCTCCAGTATTTCATTATAAAAATTTGTTCTCTTTTAAAATTCATTGTTTTGCTGTCCATGACAATAATGGGTGTTTAATTACTCAATAAGAGATTCCATTTTTACTGCAGGCTAGACAAACGGTATTGATTTTTTACTTTGCTGCAATATGAAACTGAAAAACACAATTACAATTCTTTGCCTTGTGAAGTGCATTACTCCAGTTGAAAATCAGACCTTCCAGTTATAGAAACCTGCTGGTTGTGACTGCAAAAGCATTTATTTTGTAATACTTGTAATACATGTAATACATATTACAAATGTTTTCTGAAAATATTTGACAACAGTGGTTTTCCTGCAACTGTGTTTACATGGAATTGCTGATGTGACCATTACCAAATTAGATATTAAATTGTGTTAGTTCTGCATTACAAATTCTTATGTAAGTTATTAAAGCATTTTTTTTTAATAGCTCCACCATAATTAAACTGAGCACCATTTCACTACAATTTGTTCGGAACAATAGCATCAAGGTTTG